TGTCAGAACTGGACGTCATGAGGGAAAACCTCATGCAGTCAGACGACGGCCCGTCCTGCTCTGAAACTAAAGTCAGATTTTTGGAACGATCACGGTAGAGGTCCTGAACAGGTCTTTGCTCGGGTGTTGTTTTGCAGCCTGTGTGTGGAAATCTAATAACACCTTAAGTGCTGAACCTGTTCAGGATGGGAAATGCTTCCATGCTGATAGGTATGCCTCAATTTAATCCTAAAACTCAATATCACAACAGAACTGCTCTTCATGCACTTTACAGAGACTTTCACATCAGATAGTTTTGCTACAATTAGTTTCAAACATGCGTTTTCAGCATATGTGGTGTTTCGGGAATTGTAGACTTTATTACATTGTAACAGCTTCTCCATGATAAGCTTATCAGGTGTCTCATCTATACTTTTCTGAAGAGGTGTCAAACTGCATTTTCTCCTTTCTTGACTGCAGCACAACAGATTCACCAGAAACCCAACAGTTACCCATTCCTTTGCGTCGGCTCGGTTTTGTTGTGGCTGAACGTTGACGCGTCCCTATCATCACCGTCCCATCTGAGATTTCAGAGGCAAACGCAGTTGGACAGGAGTTGTCGGCAGCTCTTCTGGGATGTCTGTGGATGTCAAACGGGGCATGTGCTATCGGTGGGAACGGTCCTCTGAACATTCAGAGTTCATCAACACGGTGTGAAAATGCAGCACTCCGTCTGTGAGTGAAACGAGGGTCAGAGCTAAAGTTAGAGTGCAACCGGGTGTTTACGGCTCCACTACTCACACGCGGGCTGACCAGACTGAGGCTTCACTCAATGACTTTTTTCTTTTGTTTTTTGGCTTTACATTGTTGGAAAAAAAGCTATAAAGCAACCGTTTTCGGTCTAAAATTATTTGAGCCTGATAAAAACCTGTTTTCCAAATATGGACAAAGGAGATTTGACAGATATGCTACAATAAATAAACAAAATCAGTATCTGGACCACCAGTTTGAAAAATAGTAGTGTTCTATATAGTTCTAATTGTATTTTAGAGTTGTTAAATTCCCGTTAACAACTTTTTAAAAAAGTAGTGTTTTATATAGTTCTAATTGTATTTTAGAGTTGTTAAATTCCCGTTAACAACTTTAAAAGACGTAAGGCTTGTCATTCACACAGGGCAGCGAAATAACGCCACATCCCATCTTATCTGAGTTGAACACTGGCCAATCACAGGAGAGCAGGCTTTTAAAAAAGCTTTTATTAGGAATTTGACCCGAACTTTAAACCTGTTGGCTCAATACATAATTTTGCCTTTATTGATACTAAACGAGGAACCGCCGAGCTGGGACTTCCGCGGCCATTTCCTCAAATGTAAGTCCCCCCCTCAACCCCTGTTACTACTCTTTTTGTAGCTGCCCATTGTAGGTCTTGACAGGTGGTAATAGCAGTGCTATTAGTAGTTAAAGAGTTTTAACCAATCTAAAAGGGATTTGGAGTAAGAAGACCCTAAAAAATGGAAGATTATTTGTTTGGTGAGTCATTTTGTCCTTACTAGTAGCTACATGATTGCACCCATATTGACATCAAGATGAATACGTGGACTCTTTAAGCCTTAAAAGGTGTTTCCTTTGCATCAGTTTTCCATATCCGTGCTACTCTGACCCTACTTAATGCAGGTGCTCTTTTTCCACAAACCACTGCCTGTATGTAAAGATGACTGGGGGGTTTATAGATAAGTTAAGGCTTCAAGTTTGAAAAATAAGTTTGAACTCTTTGGAAAACGTTTTCCCATTTTCATCTTTTCATTTTCCAACTCTTTGAATGACCGCTTATAATGATTCCCTTCTGCTTTTGTGCTGTTTTTCAGTCAAAGCGAAGCTCTCCTCTGTATGATTTCTTTTCCCATGTATTGCTTTGAGAGAAAAGGGTCCCGGGGGGTGGATTATCTTTCCCGATTGGGCCAATTTGCATGTTTTCACATCCCCTGGAATGATGTCATCCGGGAGGGGGGGGGGGGGGGGCCGCGATCGTCCAGCTCATGATTGACAGCCCCCCTCGACTCCTGCCATGTGTCTCAGTGAAGGATCAGTGGATGCTGTGGTCTTTTGAAGGCTGCGCTGGGCTGCCACTCCGATGCTTTCAGAGATGTAGCGAGCTGGCAGGCGTGTCTCGGGGGATCGCGGCACTGTCAAATAAGGGTAATTACCCGAGCACTGGGGTGAGGGGCACATGAAGTGATTTCAGCACCTCCGAATTAAACATGGTCCAAGGAATCCGAGCAAGCCACAGGCTGCTTCCCTTCAAACCCTTTGCTGTTCCTCGAGCCTTTCGCTATAGAGGAATCCTTCTGCTTTTTTTCGGGTGTGAATTTTGTTGAATTCTAAATTGGGGGCAAGGAGGGGTGTATTTGTTTTCAGCACCTTTGAATTTGACATGCTCCAAGGAGTGGGAACAATCAACACGTTGCTTAGACTTCAAAAGCACGGCCGTCCAGAGGGAATTGAATACACGCCATGAGGCTGTTTGGTTCCAAGAAATGGAGACAAATGAAAATCTAATTTAGAACAATGAGCTGTCAAGCCTGAAAACTTGCTTGCATTTCAGAGTGTTTCGGACAGTTAAGTTTCCTTACATCAGACCCCACTAAGTGTTTCCAGTGAGCCTGTGAAATACCAAATCTCATTTGCACTATTGAGCTCCTTTCCCCGCCTCCCGTCTCCTTCCTAATCTCCTTTTGAGTTTCACTTGCGTTTTTAATCGGGGGTCCCCGTCTGGTTTCTCTTCACCTTTCAGGGCACGGCAGCAGATTGTGGCAAACCTGACTAGGGCACCTTAAACAAGGTTGTGTTTGTTTCTGCCGGAGCTGATGTCAGAGGCTGACTTCTCTCATCAAACCTGCATTTGGAGCTTGTCAGAATCCCCTTAACCACCAAGACGTAAACGGTTAAGCTCCCCCGCTGATCCCTCTCCTCTTTCCAAGACCGATGTAATTCTTAAGTCTAATGCAAATCTCACAAATCTTGATCAGCCGCATATCCCTTTTTTTAAGTGGATCCCTTTTTTTTTTTCTTTTTTTTAAATCCACCAGCATTTCGATTAGCATTTCTTTTTTTTACTTGTCCTAAAACTTAAGGTATAAACTGATAGATAACACATTTTAGTGGGACACATTAGCCTCTGCTGACTTCGAATACATTTTTTTTCACCCAGCTTTGAGTTGGCCTCATTGCCAAGCCTTTCTCGTGTGTTTGACAGCATGCTCATTCATGTTTCTGATTAATTCATTGTTTTACAAAGCAGCTGCATATGAATCCACTTCTGTAATGGTTTTAGCATACGTTGATGAGACATGAAGGCTAACATTACCTGATTTTGTGTTGTAACAACCAAACACCCCAGAGGACTTCTCCTCCTTGCTTAAATGATGTTCCCCACACAGCTTATTGCTTAGTGCCAACTTCTCATTTCTATTTTTCCAGCGTTTGTTGGAAAGCCCCACCCAACAATAACTCAGGTCCGCTTTATCGAGTAGATCACTTGTTCCGATTTCCCTCTTTTTGTTTGTTCATCAGAGGGAGAATTAATGATGAATTGGCTTTTAAAGCTCCTCTCAAACCGTACGGAATGAACTCACCGTTCCGGCAGCTAAAGGTGACATTTCACCAGACAGAGCAGCTGTTAACAAGCCATGTACAGTTCATTCAGTTGTCACATACAAGCCCTGAATAATGGTTGGTGTCATGACAGGCTTTGCCTTCCAACCAGACTTGGACAGACCAATGTGTCTCTCGCTCTCTTGAGCACAGAGCGATCTCCTCTTGGGTTCAAAGCTCGGATGAGCACTCGGCGAAGTCGGGAGAGTTGACGGCGACGAAAAAAGGACACGGCTGACAGGGTGGAATGGCAGCCATCTCCGGCCTCCCCTGTGCTCCGAGGTGACGAGCAGCCCGCCGCTGTGAAGCCAGGCGGAAAACTGACCTTTCTGGCATGAGCCGCCCCGGCCCTTTGGCACCGTGCAATGAACTCGGCCCTCCAGCATCTCCTCCTTCCATCTGCAGCCCTGCATAATCTGCCTCAGATCCCACTCCTTGTCGCCGCCCCATGCTGCTCCTCGCTGCTGTGGAGCCTGTGGTCTGTTTCTGAGGAGGAAAAAAAAAAAAAAACAGTTGAAGTGGGATACTGGTTCGACAAAGATGATGATGGATATATATCCTGGCTTAATCTCTGACTAATACTCCAAGCAAAGGAGGTCACCAAGGATATGTAAACAAGCTCCGTCAGTACACAGACACACAACAGGAAAAAAATGAAATTGATGTCTCCTCTTTAAAAATGTACATTCCCCCAACATAAGAGAGTCTGTTTTACTTTGAGCTCGCCACCTTCACCTTCAGCCCTGGTTTCACTAGAAGGTGGGGATGTAGTTAGCTATCTGCTGCCACCTGCTGGTGGGGGACGTCCAGTAGAAGTCAAATAAGTTCAGCCTCCGGCCTGTTTCTTCGAGTGTTTTCTATTTGTTTTTGTTCTCTAAAAACTGTGGGTAGAAGAGAAAGAAAAAAAGGATGTGATTTATTGTGTATACAGATATGTGTACATCTGTATATGTTTCTATATATACATATGTATTCAGATCAGAATCAGTAATAGGGAGACAAAATATCCTACATTCAAACGGCTCCCTTATCTCCTCCCTGCACTCCACTGCAGACATTAAACACACAGCAACACTTTCATACTCTCGGAGGTGGTGGTTTATTTGAGCATGTGAGTCAGCCAAGTCCCTGCAGGCCACAGCTGGAGAGCGCGGAGTGCTCCACCCAGCAGCAGCAGCAGCAGCCGCGTCATATGTGGCTGCAAGTCTCCCCCGACCTCCCCACAACCAGACCGGCTGTAATTTATGCGTGCTGGACTCTCCTCCCCTCCCCTTCACCTCAGTCCAGGATGTGTCGTCCTCCACTCTCCAAACTAAGTTTCAAAACGGAGCCTCTCACTTAGCAGGACTGGAGCGACTACTGGATAGCTGTTGTTGGCAGCCGGTTGCCTGTTTGTGGTGAGTTTATTTTTGTGTTTTGTACTGGAATGTGGTTCTATGGTTAGAGCAGCAAAAAAAACAGGGGGGGGGGGGATTTTCTTTTTTTCTTCTTGTTAATATACAACTTTGTTTTTCACATGACAAACTGCCGCCTGCATTTTGACCCCTGTTTCACCGACTTAGCCTCCTGATGACTGAAAACCTAAATTCCATTCAAGCTGTAACGGTTCTGTCTCTCCTCTCACGTGGTCCTTTGGACTATTTCTCTGTACCGGGTTACTAATAGACGTATAAAAGCCTGTCAGCTGATGATTCTGTGCTGAGCTGAAGTCACACATTGATGATTCCTAATAAATTGGCACACGTGAGATGTCACCTGGGAGAGCCTCTTTCTAAATATAGGCCTCTGATTGAAGAGAAACTTAAGGATTCTGTGGAATTGAGTTTATGTCAAATCTACTTACTGTAGGTCAAAATGGCGACGACTTCACGTAACTCCATCTGAGTATCAAGTATTTAAAAAATCCCTTAATGACATCAATAAAGGTTTGCCTTCGCTGCCCTCTTTATTACAATTTTTTTTTAAAATAGTGAAAAAAACTGAATGTTTCTCTCAGCTAAGCCAAATGATTTGCTGATGCTGTGTGACCTGGGCCCCGGTGGCCTAAGGACAAGGCAGAGGACCTGTAAAAACACACACCCTGGGCCCCCGGGGCACGTGGATCTTTTGTCCTCCTATGTGATGCTAAGCGCCTAAGAAATGCGACACCACGCTTCTTTTCAAGGCTCTGTGGTTGATGTGTAATGCTGCAGCTTTGGCTCGCACACCATTCATTTGGAGATGGAGACAAACACGAAGTACAGTGGGGCACTTTAGAGAACTCTTTTTTTTCTTTTTCTTTTCTTTTCGTTAGAACTTCCAGTGCGGGACGTTTTTCTGTTTGTTTGTCTTCCATTAACTTAATATGTGTTTGCATGTACAGCGATGTACACACACTAACACACACACACATAAACCATGTCTAATAAGCACTAAAGGCGCTGCAATATCATGTGGCTGTGTCACAATGGGCCGTTTATGTGAACCAGTGGCAGTCGGAGGCAGAAGAGCGGCTGCAGCCAGGCACTGTGCAGAGCCTCTTTAGTTGGCCTGTGCCTCGTTTCTTGAGAATATGAAAAGCAGCCAGATTTTTCAGGCCGTTTTCGACCGGAGGGCATGTCATTTACCAAATGAATGGGTCTCTTTTCTGAACAGTCGGGCCAGTCACAGATTGTCATGACACGAGACGGGCGAGCACAGAGTATTACTTTTCACTGCGGAGTGCATTTGCATAACTTCAGGGTACGAGCCTGAGAGACGCATCTCCATGATGATAATGCGGAGGTGGTTATTATTGACTCAGCTTCTGTTTTCTGCCTAGTCCCAATTTATAAGTCCATATAGTGACGTCTTCCTCCCTTTTTAAATGGTTTCTCATCCCGAGTCTCCCACAGGGTAATCGCTGTCTCTCACGCATTGTGTTTTTTTTTTTGTTTTTATACTTTGTTTTAGCTCCTGAGTCCTTCTGCACTGTTGAAGCAGCATGGCGTGCTTTCATCCAAGCATCTGCATTTATATTTGATAGGTGCCGTGAGCTTGTTAGACCACCACCATCGCCAAGATTTTTTGGTTTTTGGTTCCATGAAATAAGTTTTCAAAGACAGAGATCACGTGTATCTGGTGGAAAGAGTGCAGGGTTTTCTGAGGAAACATTTGGATCTGAATGCTTTCTTGTCTTTATCATTTAAGCACAGAGCTAAAAGGCACCACAGAAAAGTTGGCATATAGAAGATACAAATAAATGACCAAAGCGTGATCGTGCCTCTACCTTCGCCTGCATGTTTCACCTTTGACTTGTGGCTAAACTGCCCACAACTTTCCATTTTGTTTACCTTCACCACAGTCATTTCCAGACACAGCAGGCTGCTGTTTTCAACATAAAACCACTAATAACCCACTGTGTGCTTCCTGGTAAACACCACAGTGGCAAAGTTAACAACCAGCTGCTCAACACGGTGAAGATCTGAAGATTTTAAACCAACTGGAGAGTCAACGAAGACCAAAACAGATCTTAGAGTATATATATATGTAAGACTAAAAAATCAAACCTAGCTATTCCACAGTTCCAGTAGACTGAATTAATAGTAGATTACAGTAGATTTCATGGTCTTACTCCAACTGGTATCTTTCATATTCCCAGGGATAAGAATCATTCCTGAAGAAGTTGTCGTTGTTTATTCCTAGTTCCTCTAAGTTTGTTTCAGATTAGTAAACTACATCCTTTACTCAGTTACATGGCCTAAACGGCTATCGTCTGGCAACAGTACACAGCCTGGTAAATTTGCTTTTAATCCAGCCTGAGTATGTCTGGCTGTGACCTGCTGTTACTGCAAGCAATCCCACCTACATGTAATACATCTGCTTTGGGATTAAGGTCAAGGATTAGTGGATGCTAGTGACTTGGACATGGCCAGAGTTGAATGGTTGGATTCCACCTTTCTACAGGTCACAAAAAGAGGTCACACAGCCGGTTAAAGGGAAAACGTCTGATTGACTCTCAGATTTATTTTTTAACATAGCTCCAGATTTGCTTTTTGCTGATGGAATAAAACCAGGCTGTTAAGTGCTCGTCCCTCCTGTCGTTGACATTTTCAAATGAATCCCGTTTGACTGGATTTGTTTTATATTCTTGTTTTACAGGAATTGGTTATTTCATCTTTTTTTCTGAGTCATTCCTGACTCTTACATTCTCAGCAAGAATCAGTTATGATCACCAACAGATTTGTCAGTTTCAGAGCCGGTTTCACCAACATGATAAAGACAATAACAAAAGGCACTTACAACCAAAAAAAAGTAAGAAACTGAATATGTGAGAGTGTTCTATTCTCTGAAAGAGGATACGAAAACTTAAGCAAACTGCCACTTTGATTGTCCACTCAATCCCAAATCTCCCAGTCAGCAAAACACAAGAAAAAACCCACGTTTAATTTGTACAATTGAAGGAAACTTAAAAAAAGGTGACATCCAGGTCTGTGGACTGTGTGTCAGGGCAAAAAAACCCATCTGATTCAGTGCCTCCATCCAGTGCCTCAGTGATTTACGGGAGACTGAACCGTGGCCTCTCAAGTCAAGTCCCGGTGACCACGAGTGCAGAATGAGCACAGTAGCTGCGTCAGGCAGCAATTCCTCTGCACCAGTAGGGGTAAGGACGGGGGGGGGGGTCACGTCTCAGGAGCACTGAGGAGGTGGAGGAGATAACTGGGCAGGAAGATGACAAGCTGGTGAGGACAGAGGCAACATCACAGCTTGATGTCCCAGAGGCCTTCACTCTCCCCCTCCCCCAGTGTTTTATCTCGGTGTTTCCTGGCTGTTTGTGTTGCTGCTGACAGCTCTAAAGTTTCACACAATGTCTGAGTGTCACTCTGTCTGCTGCAGGATGGCTCTGTGGGGAACCTTGACGACCTGGCTCAGGAGTACTCTCAGTATTACGGCACCTCCCTCAACGACGTGTGTGAAAGGATGGAGGAGCTGCGGAAACGCAAAGTAGGGCAAGACGCAGAGACGGTAAGCAGCCACTCCTACCACCCCCTTCTTCAAGAGGCATTTTGAACCCCTTTCCCCCCCCCACAAGTCAGCACAGAGGCATTCTCTCCTCTCTCACATATCACCTTCACCTATCACTTTATTCCCAACCCTGTTGGAGCAAAACTTTCAAGTCTCCCTGTTGCTAAGAAGTTTTGACTGATTGCTAATCGAAAAAGCAAAAAAACAAACAAAAAATTTTTTTGCTTCAAAGCAAATGCAGGATGATTTGAGCTCAAAGATGAGAATCTTCTAACGTCTCACCCAATCAGATGTTCTCAGACCTCAGTGGCCCCAGACAAACTGCTAAGGCTGTCTTTTTTTGTGTGTGTGTTGAATTGGCAGCTACCTTAGAAACCCAAATATTCTCTATAAATTGCAGAAAAAATCGCCTTAAAAAGAGTTAAGCACTTCTAAAGAAGGCTTATTAGCCTTTTTTAAGTGAAGAAGAAGAAGAAAAAAATAAGTTGTTCTTCAATAGGAATGTACACTCTGAAACTGGATAACATTACAGAAACACACTGAGGAGCACTTATTTATACATTTTAATTACAGTTATTGTCCACCCAGACAGCAGTTTTCACTTATAAGTGCCACTGGTTTTCTCATCAAACTCCTTTTAAACATATGTCTTATGAGTCATTGTTTTCACTTTAACGTCTTTGTTTGCACTCCCTTCAGGGTCATTTTTACCATTTGATTTAAATCTTTGGTAACCAATCAGTCGTTCTGAATATTTTATGAATGTATTCAAAATTAATGCATTTGTATTTTAAAAACAACTATATCCAAAGTTAATACTCTCACAGAGCAGTTTGTGGCAGCATTGCCTACTGGTGACATTCCATAATGTGGGCTGACCAGTGTAAGCAGAGCATTTGTCCTGCTTTTGTCATATGATGACACTGTAATTCACTCCTTCGCTTCCCCTCTGTTTCAGGGAAAGATTGACTCAACGACCACATCACCAAATCTCCGCTCTCAGATCCAGGTGAGTGTCCAGCTCCCAGTGTGTCAGACCCCAGTAGGAGGCAACTTCCTTTTCAGTGCGTCAGCAGACGGACTGATAGGAGGCTCAGAGATTGCCTGGTCATGATTATCCCAGCAAAAGATATCCAATAATAACCCACAAAGTACAATTCAGCTGATGCAAACACTGGCCTTGAAAATGTGCTTAGATGTTGATATGGACACCAGAAATGCGATGAGACTAATGGGATATGAGGGATTCTGTTTATTCTAAGTTACAATTTCCATACTTGAAAAGCAGATCAGATTTACTGTGTGTGCCTCTTTGTAATCGTTATTTAATAAGAAACAGATCAGTAAATGGGAGCATTGACTTTGTGACATTCACAATGATTTTTATCTGTTTAAGGAATCTCTTGGACTCAGCAGTGCCACGTCGACTCCAGAAATTGAGAGAAGGTAATCAAATACATCTATATATATATTTGTACATATTCAATCACACCTGGAAGCTTAGCAAAGATGACTCGTCCGCCTTTATCTGTGTCATCCTTATGAGCGTGCATTTCCTCAGCTTCCTGGTGCCCCTAAAGTCAAATTTATGAAGAACTTCTGTGTGACCTTCACACTTCCTTCCTTCCATTGTTTCCTTTGAAAGGTTTTATAGAGCAGTCACCGTTTGTCATTGGAAAGCTGATTACAATAAAGGAATTTGGGTGATGAGTAATGAGAAGCCAGCATGTTGAGTTGATTAAAATCACCCAAGAGACCAGACAGAACTCTAAAAAGACTGAGGAGTACATAGTTTCCAGGATATTATTCTCAATGGGAATGAGTTTGCGTTATTCAGAACCTTGATGGGACTGACAGATTAAACACTGCATTTCATTAATAGCTGTGAAGATAGCTCTACAGAGTTGGAGTCGCTTTATATTTGGAAAGAAACCCACACTGCCCCCTAGTGGCATCAAAACAGAACCGTGAAAGCAACTTGGGGAGCTCATGATACAATATAAGATATACAATAAGGTAAAACTAATTTTGGAGACTCTAAACAGCTTCTTCAATGTAGCCTGAACCAACTCAGGAAAGCATTGTAAATTCCTTTTGATAGCCTTAAGGAATAGTTCTCAAAGCTTCCTGAAAGACATCCTCAATATCTTTGGATGCTGAGCACCTTTTGTTCTGTTATTTGTCAGTAAGATCCCACAGAATTCATCCCTCCATCAGACCTGCTGCTGCTGGACTTCAGCCCTGTTTGTGGGGCATGCCTTAGCCTTTCCTTCCTCTTTTCTTAAAAAAAATGGATTATTTACAATCACCCCTCACTGCAGACCAACTGAGGGTCCAGAAACATGTTTGGGAATCACCTTGTCAGTACAGAAAGGATTACCAGTCAGTCAAACTCTGTTAACTTTGGCAATTTTGTGAACAAATTATGTGTTGCTGCAACAGACTACTGTTAACAAATTATCTAAAAATACAATGTTAAACCAGTTCATATCATAGGTTTGTTGCCTTATGGAATATTTGTCTGATTCATTGGTCAGAGTCACTCATTTTATAAAATCAGTGCAGAAAGCAGCTAATTTCTAAAGGAAAGCGTTGGGAGCTGTCGGACAGCCTGGAGAGCTATTGCTTAAATCCCCTTTAAAAGATCTCAACCGGCTGCTTGGAGGCAAAACATAAAGAAATGAGGGCTGGATCAAGGCCTTTGCAGAGTAAGTTTGGTAGTAGTCATCACTTCCTGTGCCTAATATCAGCTAAACAAAGCAGACGTATCGCTCTTCAGACCAATGTCGTTCTAATTCAGGCTCTATAACGCAGACAGTAAAACGAAAAGAACAATTGCTACACTTTCATCTTTCACCTGCTTGTCTAAAAAATCATAAACTGGTCAGGTTCATTTAGATGAATAAAGAAAAAGCGGCAGTTCTAGGTATGTGTGATCAGGGAGGAAACCACAAAGCAGAGGTCTAATCTGTTTGCAAACTGATACAGCGAAGCAACACACAGGCGACAGGAGTCAGCTGATAGAGGCAGCTGTGAGGACGGCCGACAACAAACAGCCCCCGAGAGGCGCGCACAGAAAGAGAGGGAGGGGGGAAAGTGTGCGGGGAATGCAGGGGCCACATCAGTGCCGCTGCTGCTGCTGCTGCAAAACCCCAGCTAGAGCAGAAAAAGGCTCCATTGTTCCAGCGATGGCCGTCGAGCTCTGACCTCTGTTCATCAGCCAAGAGCAGTCAGTCTGTTTCATCTGTTTTGACTACTTTGATTGGCCTCCACTATGACGCTATTGTCATGAGGCACACTGCGCCTTTGTGATTCTTATTTTTCTGTGTTTGTTCGGGGTTTTTTTTTCTTTTCTTTTCTATTTTTTTTTTTCTTCTTCTTGATCTTACGCAAGTTGACCCGGATAGAAAGACTTTGATAAGGGGGAAATGGAAGCAGAGCAGGGAAAATGAAGAAAATAACTCTGGATAACAGGTAGTTTTCAGATGAATTATCTGAGGGTCTGAACTTTGGTTTTTTGGCTCTTCGAAATGATGTAAACAGCTTGTTACTGAATTCTTTTAGGTTTCCGGTGCACAAATCCAGCTCGGATGATGGATCAGGAGGTAAGTCATAATTTTACTGTTTTTTCACACTTTTATTCTTAGTCTTTGCTAGATGTAATTTTACTAAAGAGCTGCTTTTATTTGTTTTATTCAGCATTGCACGTGTTACATAAAAATGAGGGAATCTGTTTGAATACCCAATGACGTCCCTGTTTGTATTTAGGCCTCAAATTTTTTTGACTGTGTGGAAAGTAATTATTTCTTTATAGGAAAATGGGACGCAAAGAGAAAGAGCAAGTCTTTTTGGCAGAGTTTCCGTAAGACACAGAGAGGAGCCATGCGTCAGACCTCAAAGGGTAAATTAAATATTCACAAGGACTGTGAGAGCTCTAGATTTCCAATGGAAGTGAACACAACTGTTCTTATCTGTTGTAGGGGACGATGTTGGCTTCGTGGCCAGTGAAATTACCATGAGTGATGAAGAGCGAATTCAGCTAATGATGATGGTGAAGGAGAATATGATCTCTATAGAGGAAGCCCTTGCACGGGTATGGTGTAATGAACGCCTCTAAAAGAAACAAAGCTTGACCTTGCTGAGATAAATGTGGAAGAAACGCAATATTTGTTCACAAAAATGGGATGTTTTAGGATCTTTTGAGTTGAGTTTGTATCAGAAAAAGTCTGTTGATTAAATAACGAATAAGCATTTTGAAATAGTTTCAAAGCCATATATTTCCCTCCTGAAACGGCGTCAATCATTTTCTACAACGTTCCAGACGTGCAGAAGATCTCCAACTAACATGCTCATCTGTTCTTGCAGCTGAAGGAGTTTGAGACACACAACAGACAAACGTGCCGGTCCGATCTCTCCGAGTCTCCCGATCCCTCCAGTCCTGGCACAAATGAGCCGTTCAGCTGCAGCGTAAGTGGAGCTCTGAGGGCGTCTTAGCCGCGGCCTAATGCTGAGTCACTGTGTGCTGTGTGGGCCTCTGATTTACCAGTGCCAAGGGTGCTGAGCTGTTGACAGCGCCCCTGTCCCGGTGATGAACCTGGGCCCCTCTAAAGCCCTGCAGCTCAGGGCCCTCTCCCAACTGCAGGCCAGCGGGTGAACTTCTATTCATCGCTGTCAAAGCACTAACCCCCTATTGTGCTGCAGTGAGCGGGTGGATTCAGCACAGGGGTCTGTTATGCAGGCCGCAGCTCTTTTATGCATGGGTGGGGTGATTAGGGGGCTCAGGTTTAGAGCTTTTTTTTTTCGGATTCGTCCAGATGACCTAAATGTCTCTCTTTGCGCTCTGTGTATTTATTTTAATGATTTACTTCCCCCACTCGCGCATTTCCACCATTTCTGTTTGTGATATCCTCAACGTCTTGACGTGTGGTGCCGGTAAGACATGCGCCCCGTGTTTTGCTCAGCATGTCTGACACAAGCCGGCAAATATACCACGGACTTTCAAATGGCGGTTAAGGTTGTTTCCAAACTACCTAGCTCTTCATTTTTCTCATATATCGAAAGCCTTTTATAGCCTGCTTTGACACATATGTCAGCTGCCTGCAGGGGCCACAGGGTGGTTTCCCACCCACGTACAAGTTTTTTACTGCCGGCATTAGCAGCAGCATCTGTGACACAGCTGAGTTATTAAGAATAGATAAAGTTTGCGAGCCTGCTCCCCATAAGAAGCACAATCTAGAGTTAACAGAGATACGGCACTGTTTACCAGTGATATACAGCTCCTCTTGTCTCTCCAATCAGCCCTGTGACCTGTCTGACAATGAGGAGGAGTCGCTGACGTTTAAAAGGCTCCACAAACTGGTCAACTCAACTCGGAAAGTGAAAAAAAAGCTGATCAGAATGGATGACCCCAAGAGGCCTGGAGCTGATGGTATGAAAAAAACACTGCTAGACTATGACTAGCAAAGCACTAGTGGTTTGTAGAGGAGCACTGTGTAACGGTTACTGACATCTAGTGGTCAAGTTGTAAATAGCTGCCCACAAACCAGTTCTATATGTGTTTTTAAAATGCGTAATAAGCCTGGTCCTGTGTAGCCTTAAACATCCCACAAAACGTAACATTTGAATGATATTACAGTAAAGAAGTAAACCTATCTTTTTGCCTGCTCAGAGAGCCTAAATGAAGATGAGCTGCCCAGTGGTGATGCCACCATGGCCCTGCATTCTGCCGTGCAGAGGAAGCCCTTCCTTTGTCCCGTTGAGTCCCTGGCCTCAGCTCTGCAGGAGCAGCTCTCCTACGACAGGGACTCCGACAGCGGCACCACCTCCCAATCATCCAGCAGCCTGGACACGTCCGGCAGCCAAAAGCTCTTCCAGGCGTTCAAGTGTGGCGGGAGCCCGCTTCACCAGGAGACCAGGGTGGAGGAGGAGGTGCGGGAACCCGGAGAGGGCTCCTCTCTCTCAGAGGCGGAGGTTTGCACCGAGGAGGAGCCGAAAATCGCTCGTTCTGTCACTGACGGGGAGATTCGTCAGCGCATGCTCGGCTCTCTCGGCCACCACGGGGTGAGTACAGAGGAGGCTTTGAATCAGCCCCGAGGTTCTGCGAGGCGAAATCACCCCCTCGGCCTCAATTTTATATGCTACACCCAGATTTAGATTTAGTAACAAGACACACAAAGATCTTTTTTTGCTTTTTGCTTAATACAGTCTCAGTATCTGCAAAGCAGCCAACTTAAGGAGTTCAAGCTGTTGTAAAACTTAAGGACAGATTTGTGCCTGCAGCAGGAGCTTCAGGCATGTACACACCACTCAACTTGTTCTTTGCTGTTGTGATTTTATACAGAGAGCTTGCAGCTTTGGCGGATTCGACCTGACTAACCGCCCCGTGCACGCTGTCATTTCCGACAATGATAGCACGGTATGTACCTGCTCCTCCACCGGATGTCAGTCAGAAGTACAAAATCTGCTGTGTTCAGAATTTTTAACCCTGCTCAGCACCATTCCACACTCCCTGAAAACTGATGTCAGACTGTGTAGGAACTGGTCCTGAAAACTCTTAGTGTGGGCCCATACAGCCAGCTGAACTTCATTTTGAGGGACTGATCAACAAAGAAAATCTAATGTTGTTGACATCAGTGAAAATTGCTCTCTGCATCAAATAACTAAGCAGCTCTAAATTTGCAGACTCATAGTTTTCTAAACATGAAAACCTATTTGTAAGCCATTCCAAGCCAGGAGATTTCAGTTTTTTGTTCTGTCTCTTTCTTATTTTTCAATTTGCACCAGTCCAAAAATATTCAGCAGTTTTTTTGTACATACTGTACATTTATCTTTTCTTTTTTTTTAGACAAAAGATGGAGATGGTGGTGTCAGAGATGGGGTGAAGTCTCCACCAATGTCACGTATTTCTCTGGGCAAAAAAGTCAAGTCTGTGAGAGAGACCATGAGGAAGCACATATCCAAGAGATACCACTGCTCTCTCTCTGAACAGGTTTGTCAAGGAGGTTTCACGGCGTGTTTCAGGCTACAGTGCTGCTTAGCAGGCAGAGGTTAACCCCATAATGCCACATGTTTCAGATTAGATACATGCAGTTTCTAAAATATTTTTAATAACGTGATGGTAAAAGCTTTGCTCAAAACATCTGATACAAGTGGGGAGAAGACTATAATCATTTACTGAGGATTCTGACTTACGGCACAGTAGTAAATGGAAAATAGTATCTTTGTTAATTTGGACAAATGCAGACTTCAGACCAAAAAGATTAGTTTTTCTTGGGTCAAACTTTAAAGGTTTAACTTGTTTCCTCTCTGTTCCAGTCGAGCCCGGACCGCGTGTCCAGCTGCCCTCACTCGCCTCACACAGACTCTGATTCTTTGGAGAAACCCAAGCCGAAACTGGGAGGCTCTGTGGAGAGCCTTAGGAGCTCTCTGAGCGGGCAAAGCTCCATGAGTAAGTCTGCAGGGCTGCTGTTTGGGTAATAGGGGCAGATGACCCGTCCTTGGATAAGATGTGCTTGACAGACTTTAAAAAGCCTTTGAGGTAGACTAAACAGTCGGGCTTCGCCGTTCTCATCTTTGCGGAAAACTTCGACTTCCAGCTGTCTGAAAAGCACATCTGAGAAATGTTTGTGAAATACCAACAAAGGCCCAGAACCTTGTGGTTCTAATGTTTATCTTTCGTTATCCGTATAGGCGGCCAGACGGTCGGCACCACCGACTCCTCCAACAGCAACAGGGAGAGTGTGAAGTCTGAGGATGGCGAGGAGGACGAGGTACCTTACCGTGGACCCTTTTGCGGACGCGCTCTGGTTCATACAGACTTCACCCCTAGTCCCTATGACACCGACTCTCTCAAACTCAAGGTACATTTACAAAAATCACTTAAAACATCCAGATGGAGCGTACATATTTTAAAGAAGCTTCACAGAAACTCACTGGTCTTCGCCTACAGATTGGAGATGTCATTGATATCATCAGTAAGCCCCCCATGGGCACGTGGATGGGGATGCTCAGCGGGAAAGTCGGCACCTTCAAGTTCATTTACGTGGATGTTCTGAGTGAGGAGGTGAAGCCCAAAAAGACACGCAGGAGACGGCGGGCCCAGCAACCCAAACCCACGTCTGTGGAGGAGCTGCTCGATCGCATCAACCTCAAAGTAAAAACCTCACAGCACGACGGGTGTAGAAAAGCTTCCATAGTGCCAGTGAAAGGCAAACTTTTGTTTAAAAGAAACAGCAGGGAAAGTCATCAAGATACAGATTGTGTGTGTTTGTTGTTTCTGAGGCTAACAGCTCTGATGTCACTTCTCTCTAATATATCAATTAGGTAAAAAACACATTAAATTACATGTTAGCAGATAGAAAATATCATTATATTTGAAAATCATATTTTACTTAACCAATGTAAGACCTCAAAGTGAAAAATGTCACCGCAAAGTCTATTTATTTAGAATAAGATCTATTAAAAACACTTAAGATAAAATGGGGTTATAAGGCAATGGTTCACTGACACAGTGATCTCTGTTGGCTTCAATCTCCTGTTCTTGTCCTACTAACGCACAAGAAGCAACCCTAAGAATTATTTTACTTTGCATATAAAGCAAAAAACTAAAGATTACTTTGAGATCCTTGGAATCTCAAAGGCCTTACCACAGGTCAAAGGCCTCATTTATTCCCTCACTTCTCCACAGGAGCATCTTCCTACTTTCCTCTTCAACGGCTACGAGGATCTGGACACCTTCAAGTTGCTGGAGGAGGAGGACCTGGACGAGCTGAACATCAGAGACCCTCAGCACAGAGCCGTGCTGCTCACTGCCGTGGAGCTGCTCCAGGAGTACGACGGTGGGTCCTGCCCCACGCCTCAGCACGGCGCCCTTCTGCTCCACGTACAGCCACGGTTCCCCGGTTCGGATCACAGAATGACACCCCCCCGTTGGTTGCTTTTTCTCGCAGGGAGCAGCGACCCCGAGCGCAGCTGCCAGTCCGGAGGCTCGCAGGAGAAGCTGCTGCTGGACAGGCGCGGAGTCCTGGGCGACTCCCCGCGGGACTCGGGCTGCTACGAGAGCAACGAGAACCTGGAGAACGGTAATGACAGCCTGAGTCGCCCGTGAGCCGCCCTGCTCTGCCTCACCCTCCTTTAGAAAAAGACTCTTGCGGCCTGTCGTCCCTTTTCGATGCTCAAGCATTCCAAGCCACCAACTTCGGCTTTCACGCTCCACGCTGTGGAAAGACCCCGCTGTCGTCACCACCTTTCCTTCCGATGCTCTGCTCTCCTCCAGGCACCATCATCCTCTCTCCCGTTTCCGCATCGCTTTGGTCTGTGGAGTGCTTTTAAGAGTTGACATGACTTTTCTTTTCTTTCCAACGATGAATACTCAACACGATACTCAAAACGGGCTCGACCCAGGATTAGTAACTAATACTGACTTTGTGTTTATTGAAGGTTTCACACCTTCAAACAATGGTGGAAGAGCAGCGTTCAGGCCTGCTCACAAACACATGCACAGTTGTGGCTGGTTGTGGTGGTTTTGGCAGTAGCTGGAAATAGGGGCAGTTGAGTCATCGTGCGATGGTTGTTTTATCTTTTTTTAAGGCTTCTTCTGTTATTGCAGAGTTTATCTTACGTGAGTGCTTGGTTTATTCACAGCTATATCATTCTTTCCTGTGGTTAACTGGATGAGCTTAGGTGTCAAAAAGGGTGCCTGAATGTCAACACGCCACTTTGCTTTCAGGACAGCGTTGGCTCAGCCTCACTTGTAAAGTGTTTTCTCTCTCTAAAAAAAGAATTCTGCTGTCCTTGTGTATATTTTTTTAAGTCAAGTAAAAAGACAATGTTGCACAATATTTTATCATGTGCCTGAAAGCTGCATACTGCAGAAAAAGTAAAGTATTTACCGCATAGTATACTCGTCGAAACATGGCATTTTGTATAATTGTAAACGCACTAAAATTCAGCCGGCAAAAATGTTTAACTCAACTAAAAGTTAAACCCACTTCTGGCAGAAGTGCGGAAGCTTTGTTCGTCTCGGTGTTTTCTGAAGTGTGCTTCTGTCATGGTTGAGCGTGAGGAATAAATTGCTCCATGCTTCACCACACCCGACTGCTCGCCTTTCTTTGGTTCATCATTCATTCCGGCCCATCTTTGTTAGTTAGTTGTTGGTTTTTTTTGCGTTTACGCTGTGCTTTCCACCCCTGACTGCTGTGCCTCTGCTCTGTTTCGGTCAAATGCCCGCCGGCTTTCTGCAGCACCTGCATGATCCACACGTGCTCCGCTTGTATATTTCAGGGAGGGACAAAAAGAAGGCTTCAGCCATGAGCAGGTCGTCGTCTGGGTTTGAGTCCAGCCGCCTCCTGTCCCCAGAGCGCCCCGTCCTCCCCCCGCTCCTCACCTCCACCTTCTCTCCTCACAGCCTACCCAGATGCCTCCCCTCTAGCCAACCATCAGTTAGCCCCCTGAAGGACTGCTTAGCTCCCGCAGGAGGTCTTATTCAGAGCAGAGGCATTGCTCGGACCCAGAGCTGCATGGAGCTGGGAGGAAGCCCAGCGTGGATTCAGCCGAGTCGCTACTTCTCCCTCCACAAAATGCCAGAGACTGAACCTTTAACTCCGAACAATGGGAATGTGGCTACTGTGGAGACTGCAGAGGGCACACACCACAAAATAAATCCTCAAAACAAACTCGTGATCGCGCATCCGACCCCCAGCTCCTCGGCCATGTCACGCGGTGCTATGCGTGGCCCTTCAAACGTAGAAAAAGATAGCTTGTTTGTGCCCGAAGAGGCAGAAACGCCCCAGAGCACGCACAGCCCACCTACAGAGGAAAGGTCAAGTGAATGCCTGATGACGCCTTCTCCTCCAGATTCACATCAAGAGCCCTCGCACACAGAAACTACCAGCGAGCATAACTGCACAGGTCACGTCTCTGCTGAGGATAAGCGGACACGCTCAGTTTCAGCCACTTCAGAAGCCCGCAGACTGAAAATGAAAAGAGCCACAAGGCACACACCGACAAAGTAAAGCCCAGGTCCATAGGGAACAAAAGTCAATGTTAAAGAGTGTCAGCCAGAACCTGGAGTCGGACTTTAGAAGCACAGCAAAGTACAGCTTACCACTTGTCTCTTTTAATTTAGGAACCACGTTAGAATAATTCCTTACTGCTGCACAATGGAAAGTTGGTACCTTGCTGAGTGTGAGCAGCCCGTGACAAAACTTTAGGGATTTCTGATAAGCGTGTTCTTACACTGAAATGTCAGATATTTTTTAGCTTAGATGACTATTAGCAACAAGCCACGCATGAGCTGAAATGCTTTTGATTGTTTTGTTAATTGGTCGGACTCTTGTAGCAAATTTCTCCCGCTGTGTTTTCTTTACCTCCTAGTGTTTCCCATCAAGGCTGAGGAAGAGTTAAGGAGATGGTTAAGACGTGGCGCCGATCCCTGTTGGATCATAATTGACAGTAGTTTTTTATTGGACTTTTTTCCTCCTTTTTTTTTTTTTTACATTTATGGCAATTTAACCAAAGGGTCTGAGTGAGTAAGAAAAAAAGAACTTTAGTGTTCCATAAAGCAGTTCAACTGAGCTGGGAACATGAGAGAGCGGTTACAGTTACCATGTTAAATCTTGTTCATGTGCTGACCTTTTTACTGACACCTCGGGGCACTGTTTCAGGGTTTTCCAGTCAGCTGACTCCAATCTTAACGGAAAAGGAACTGCAGCAGACCTGAGAGTTCGTCGCTTATTCAAGCTACAGCACCAGCTTATTTAATCAAGAAAAAAAACTCGATTGCTAGATCTAATACGACCGAACCTTTTCCAACAGCATGAGGTAAGCAGAGTGCTAGGTGTCTAATAATTGACAAAAGGCGTGTCGAAATGTCTGCAGGGAAATAAGCACGTTCAAAAGTCCACCAAAAAATACTTCCACAAAACTAAGTGCCAAATTCCCAAAGAACCTGAAAACATGACTGCATTTCCAGTGGCCTGTGGAGAGTCTGGATTTGCTTCTTTCATGTGGAGCGTTGGCAGATAATTCAGCTTGGTCTGAACTGCTGCACGCCACCCGGCGAACACCTTCTGATGGAGCCCAACGTGGGCCCTTCATTTTCTGCTTTTTCACACAGGGAATTTTGTATATCCACGTTCATTAATTTAATTAATAAAGTTAATTCTATCCATCTATAAACATTGTCATCATTGTCAGTTTAACCCACAGTGTCTTTAGAATTTCTAACATCTTTGCAAACTGCCCCACTAAGTTAGTGAACAGAAGAAAAATCCTCATCGCTGTTAAAGTTGTTTTCTTGTGTGATATTTTTTTTCTTTAATGTGCATGTTCTAGAGACTGTGTCTAGTTCAGAGTTCACAGTTTGGCCTGCAGAGGCATGTCGTGGAGGCACTGTTTGACCAGCCCCAGCGCGTCCAGGGCCGTCCCCCAGGCCAGGGTTACCCCCCAGCCCCCGTGCCCGTAGTTATGGACCACGGGCACCTGGCGGCCGCGCAGCAGCACCGTCTCCCTCTCCACTCGGGGGTTCCTCCTGCTCGGCCTCAGACCCACCCACTCGCCGAGCACTTTGGCTTTGCTCAGGGACGGCTCCAGCCGGCCGCAGCGCTCCAGAATGCTTTCCGTGTCTCCCTGGTCCACCTGCAGCCTCCAGTCTCCCTCCTGCCGGGTCCCGCCCACGGTCACGCTGTGCATGCCGGGGTAGATGTAGGTCTTCCCGTCTCCGTCCCGGATGAAGTGCTGTAACCAGGGGGCTTCCACTTTGAGCACCTGGCCTCTGACCGGGTACACCTGGGCGTCGCCCACCAAGGTTTTCGAGCCCAGACCAGAGCAGTTAACGATGAGATCAAAGCTGGAACCTAATTCCTGAAGACTGGCGACTGTCCTCTGCTCCACCCGGCCCCCAGCTGTCCTGAACCTTTTAGAAAACCAGAATGAGGTGAGTGTAGAAAACCAGAATGAGGTGAGTGTACATGGCTGGAATTTTGCTATACTAAAATGAACTCGAAATCAACTGCACATGCATAAAGTTGACTGATAATTCAAAACTCCGAAGAATATGGAGGACGAACCTCTTCTCGAGCCAGGGCAGGTAGGAGGAGCATTCACACTTTATGGTGGTGAAGGCCTGGCCAAACCTGTGATCCGGAAAGCGTTTCAGTTCACTGTCGGTCATCGTTCTGAAGCCGATCACATAGTCTGACCAGAAGGGCCTCTTATTAGCAGGAACCTCTTTAAAGATCTGCCAGCTGGAAAAAGAAAGAAATCAGATAAATCCAAATCTATTTCAATTACTTTCTTTTTTCTAACTCTGTGTGATAATAGTCACCCCGAGCTCAGCATCACTCCAGCCTCTGGAGCGCTTGGAGAGCAAGCGATGGCCATCAGGTGATCAAAGCTGTCCCTGAACCAGTGTTTTTGTCTTTCCAAAGAAATATCTGGGAAATATAACAGATTTTTAAATAATAAACATTTTTAAAAAACTGCTCTTTGCATAGAGAATGGAATCGTAGCTAATGTAATTTGTATATTTCTAAAAAAGTAGCCAAGAGTCAATCCCTCATACCTGGAAATTCGGCGGCGAACAGAATGCCAGCGGCTCCGTCACTGGTGGTGTCCGGGCTGAACTTGTCAGCCACCAGTGTGACGGAGCACAAAGGAAGAGCCTCGGCTATGCAGACAGCAGTGGAGAACCCCACCACGCCAGCCCCGATGACAGCAACCCGGAGGGTTTTCATCTTCTAAAGCCCCGCGTCTCAAAGAAGTCTGGAAGAAGTTTGACAGAAGTCTCTCAAATGCAGCTGGACTGCTGAAAGATGAACTTAAGTGTGATGGGAATAAGTTAATATACGACTAGCACAAGGATCAAGGATCAGGAAGACAAAGTCCTTACTCCAAGCAGCTTTCTTTATAATAAAGCATTACATAACAGTGAAACCTGGGTCAGTTGCAGCAATTATGCCTCAGTTGTACAACGCCTCGCTCAGAGAGTCAAACACCCCCTAAATTCAAACTAAATTATTGACATCATCAGTATCACTTATTTTAGACCTATATATATATATATATACATACAGTTACTTATGTATATATATATATATTATATTCTGTGTGGAATTTTGTGTGTGTATATATATATATATACACATGTATATATGTATAGGCTGTTATTTTATCTATGGAGTTAGTAACAAAAATAATTTTCTTCTAGGATTATTAAAGTATTTCTGATTCTGATTCAGAAGCACAACTGCATGAACTCTTAAGACAGCAGCATGCCAGCAGAAGATATGCTACATTTATGAGACAAACATTTTACTTTTCAGTTATTGTTCACTATTAATAATAGGTTTAAAAAATAAAAAGGAAAAGCAGTGCAACACACCAAGTCGCTTATTATCAAACGTTTGCCTTCAGCAAAGATTAAATCTGTTTTTTACTTGTTTGTGTCTAGTTCTCAGTAGTGAATTAAACGCTAGAAAATGATGGTACCGTATGGTTGGACATATTCACCTGCTATTCCTGTTGTTTTCGTCCTTATTGCTGGAAGATTGCTGTAATGTTTATGTTGCTACATGCGAAAAAACTGTTGATCTACAAATGACCAGTCCTTCACAGCCCACTTGCTCATGCGTTTCAGAGATGTGAGGCTCAGCTCCCCGCAGATCTCGTACGATAATTTACGTCTCGCGATAAACGCATTGCGTTCTCCGGCTAGCCTCGAGACGAAGGTAAGGTCCGAAAAGCTCCCTATTTAAAATTGCACCGCGCTGTCCGCAGCCGGGGACTTGGGTCAAAACTAAATAATAATCAAATTAATGTTGGTGTGTGTATTTAATTCATTTTTATGACTGTTTCAGCTAGTTGTGGCCTGTTTAACGCGATAAACGGGTGCATTGTCTGGACAAGAATGGTTAGCTTGCTCGCTAGCCATCAACTTAGTTAAACTGCAAACAACTCAATGTTAGCCAGTAAACATTGTATTCAACGTGGCAATTGATGCCAAAGTACGTTTAAAAAAGGCTCACAGTCATATGGAAAATATTGACGCTGACTACTTAAACATCTGTAGTTTAAATAATAAACACCATGCACAATTGCATTATCAGTTACAGTTGGACTACTGTTAGTAAAAACAAACATATTAAGTACGACAGCTCTTTTTAAACTGTTAGACTACAGTAGATGCAGGACTACTGTATCCGTCTTATAACTGAGCCCGTATGTGTTCTTAAATAATTTTTCTGTAATTTTTTAAGTCACTTCCATGCAGAATAGTTAAACGGTTTAGGTTGTTCATTCACATATTTATAATAAGGTCAGAGTTGGGCAAACTGAGCATTGTCCTTTCAGCGTCTGAGCAATCAGTTTCACCCGTTTCTCTACAGCCCCATCAATGGTGCACAATAGATAAAAAAATGATTGGACACAACAAGTTATGGATAACGTTATCATTATTTGTGGTCCCATTGTAATCTAATGCACCATTATCATAATGGTGCATTAAATGATCATTTAGCATTGTCATTCCTCTGCACATTTGTGATTGATGGTTTCTTTTCGCTGATTTCAGGAGCAGATGTAATTTTCTTTTAAAAATGTCTCAGACAGAGACTTCTCCGGACTCACAGCCAAGGGCCCTCCGATCAGAGTCCCATCAGCAGACCATCCTGAGCAAATTTGACAAGCTGAGGAAACGAGACCTGCTGTGTGACATTACTCTCGTGGTAGAAGATGTGCACTTCAAGGCACACAAAGCCCTGCTGGCAGCGAGCAGCGAGTACTTCTCCATCATGTTCACGGCAGAAGATCAGATCGGCCAGTCCACCTACCGGCTGGAGGGCATGGTGGCAGAGACGTTTGCAGCCGTGCTGGAGTTCATCTACAGCGCTCAGGTGTCCGTGGAGGAGAGCGCCACCGAGCAGCTGCTGGCCACTGCTCGTCTAATGGAAGTCAGCGAGCTCATCAAAGTGCTGACAGGAATCACAGGAGCTGCAGCAGAGAGGGTAGGCCACATCAAGAAAACAGACAAAGCCGAGGCGGCGCATCTGTTGAAACGCAAAAGAGGACGGCCAAAGAAAAACACAGGTGCACCCTGCAAGAACTCGGAGGATGCCCGAACTGGAGATGAAGGGTGTGTAGAGTCTGTAACTTCTAAAAACGATGTTGATTATCACCCTGAGGCCGACCTGAGACGCCACAGCAGAAGAAGAATTCAGCCTCCTGTAAAATATAAGGGATACAAGGTTGGAGGTGATGCCGCCGGAGGTAAAGAGCCGAGCAAGAGAGGCTGCAAGAGGAAATACCCTGAAATAGAGGCGCGCTGTGAGGACTGCGGAAAAGTCTTCAAACACCACCTGTTTCTAAAGATTCACCGTAGGACCCACACCGGTAATTTGTGTAAACATTTAAGAGATCTTTACGAGGTCAGCTGTAGAAAAAATCAGATTTTATAACATACTTTTATTAATGAACGGGTATCATGCATCAAAAAGTAATGGGAAGTTTTTCTGCTTTTTTTTCCCTTAGGAGAAAAGCCTTTTCACTGCCTGGTTTGTGGGAAGAGTTTTACCCAGAAAAACACTCTGCTGGCTCACCAGCGCATACACACCGGAGAAAAACCCTTTGTTTGCTCTGTCTGCTCCAAAGCGCTTTCCACCAAACACTCCCTGCAGGAGCACATGAACCTTCATGGAGGTGGGTTTTGGATGAAGTCAGTGTTGGGTTCATTGTGCAAGGTTTCCAAAGAATCTAAGCTAGTTCTACAGCACTCCTGCAGGGTCCCGTTCTCTTCTAATCTGATCAGGCATTTAGTTTTTTTGTCTTTCAAGTAGATTTTGATGTATATTTACATTTAATTATACCAAATATTGCTACATCTTTTCTATGTACTATCCACTTTGTACTGTCCATATTTGTGTCTCTTGTTAATTTAGCCACTTGATATTGAGTAAGTAGTAATTTCATCTTTAAAATAGATTTATTATAGGTCTGCAAGGCACGAAGTCACAGATTCAGATCCAGCTTATAATGCATTTGACGGGAAAGCATTTTTAGCAAATATTGACATTAAAATTATGAAGATGATGTATGTGACAGAAGTGGACCAAAGATCAGTAGCAGCAGATTTTATAGAGGGATGAATCCTCCCCAGAACCTCATTATTGAATCATTGAGAGATCATCCTGACAGAAAATTAAACAATCTTTGCTGCTTATAGCAAAGATGTACAGAACAGCTTTTGTGTGACCTTCAAGTTGCCAGCAAAACTATTTGTGAAGACAGTGATAACCTATAAGGTTTTCCTACTAAATACTGATTTTAAGGTGCGTGGAATTGTACAGGTGCAATTACTGCACTTATTTCCCATCATTTGATTAAGGAACGGGTTCTGTTGTGGCTGTGTATTCACTAGTGTCATACATTAAATTTTAAAAAGATTTTTTTTCTTTTCTCAGAGGAGAAGTCATTCAACTGCGACAAATGCGGAAAGACTTTCACTCAGAAGAAGCAACTTAAAAGCCATTACAGAGTTCACACAGGTAGGCCGTTGAACTGTCCTTCCAGCTCACACTAATACCTTTTTAAAGCTAATGTTCTCCTTTTATATCCTAAAAGGTAAATCCTTACCCGAGTGTGCTCAGTGCCATCACAAGTTTATGGACGCAGCTCAACTAAAGAAGCATCTCAGAACTCACACAGGTAAAGGTCCAACAGGTCTGATGACGTTTTCTGAAACTGGGCCCTGCATTGGCACGAGTCTGTGGAAATGTTCCTGTTTTCACAGGGGAGAAGCCCTTCACCTGTGAGATTTGTGGGAAGTGCTTCACAGCCAAGAGCACACTGCAGACTCACATCAGAATTCACAGGTGAGGTTCCATCATTAGCAGTAACTCAGACTAATCTCTGACTGAGTACCGGATCGTTACTTTTTTGGATTCAGAGTTCTGCTACCTGAAACGTTACTGCTGCTGTCTTATGGTGCTACGTTATGAAATGGGTAATGGTGGTTAGTAATTGGTATTTTTTTTTTTTTTTTTGTGCAGAGGTGAGAAGCCGTATGACTGCAGCATCTGTAACAAGTCCTTCTCAGACCCGAGTGCGAGACGCCGCCACATCGCCTCTCATTCGGGGAAGAAGCCCTTCACCTGCTCCTTCTGCAGCCTGTCCTTTACCAGGCTGGACAACCTGAAAACGCACACCAAATCGCACAGCAAGGAGAGAGCGGCCTCATCGGACGCAGCGGCCCCACAGGCGGAGGCGCGGGACGTCCTGCAGCTGCCGCAGTACCAGCCCCCCCTCGGCTCCGAGCAGGAGATCCAGCTGGTGGTGACGGAGGCCGGGGGCAACATTGATTTTGTAGAAGGCCAGGAGCAGGAGATCAGCCTGATGGCCGCAGAGCGGGAGGCGGCGCCGGCGCCCGACTCCAGACTCACCTTCCTGGCCCAGCCGCCCGAGCACGTGCAGAACGTGGCCCTGGTCGCCCCGGGAGACGCGGTGGCCCAGACCTCTCACATCCACTCCGTCAGCATGCTGGAGGGCCAGGCAGCGCACCACCCCGAGCAGATGCACGTCATCACGCTGAGCAAGGAGGCCATGGAGCACCTGCAGGCCGGCCACGGGCCGCCACTCCCACTCCCGCACGGCCAGGCCATCCACATCAGCAGCCAGAGCAGCCCGCCCATCTGCATCAGCCAGACCAGCCAGCACATCTCCAGCCACCACATCCAGGGACAGACCTTCCAGATCCAGGCCGGCACCGTCTCCTACCTGTACACCACAGGCCTGTCCCAGCAGAGCTGAGCGGGGGCCGCCGGACAATAGACGCAAAAAAGAAAAGACTTCTGTCTCCCAAATTAGCTTTTTATAGAATATTTTTTATTTCACAGGTCTCAAACTACAACTAACATCCTTAGGCTACTAAGCAGGACACTGCTGGTCAGAGTTCATATGGAGACATCTGAAAGCTTGTTTTCTTACCTTGATAGAAAAAAAGAAAGATGACGGTTTGTTTTTAAGGACAGAAACGGTTGAACATCCGACAGGCGAAACATTAGGCACCATCAGCAAAAAGCCAATACTGCTTTTACTCTACACCGGACAAATTTAACTTTTATAGTGTCAAGCTAGGCACTTACAGGAGCTGCTGTCTGAAAAATCATGCTGACATGTGGCGTTGCATAACTCATGGAGGAAATACAGGTTGCAGGTTTAGACTTCACAGTAACAAAGACTACGTTTCTGTAAAAGGTGTGACAGCATTCAGGACACGCCGGCAGGATGGAGTCTGAAAAAAAACATAAGGCTGAGTCACATTACACTGGGTTAAAGACAAATAAACTATCATGATGAAAATCTCCTTCATAAAGTGTGTCCATAATTTATTTGTTTAGAACTAAGGGATGCAAGTAACATGAGAATACATTGGGTAAAAAATCTATTAAAAAGAGTTTCTCTCTGTTCAGTGCACTCCTTTATATGTGGTTGAGGCAGCTACTGTTTGGGGGATGGAGCATGAACGGCTCCACCTGCAGAGAGCTCTCACCGCCTTTGGCCTCGCATTAGAAGGACACCCGGCTGTTTGTGCTCTGCCGCTTTGGCCTCGTTACAGAGTCCTGAGGCGTTGTGGAGTTTGTGGGGCTGCCAGGCCCGGGGGCCGACTGCTGCTCCGCCGCAGGGTCCTGCACAGACCCGGACACAAATAGATCCACCGCCTGTAATGAGCATTTCAAACAGAATCGAGTTTCTGGATAATGCAATGCCTTCAATTTCACTCCTGAATGCATGGACAGCTTCTTCTTTTTTTTTTTTTTCACCTCCTGAAAATAGCTTCGGAGAACTCTGCAGGGTACCCTCTAGGTGCTCAGAGTGTAAAAAGGAAATAAAATGTCAGGAATAACAGTTATTTGTCGGTTGTCTACCTGTTGTCAGAGCCCACACCTCAGGTCAGCTGGCTCTGCATCTGTCCAGCTGCTGGAGGGCTGCATCAGATGTAGGTGGCCTCAAGAGGTTCTTCATTTTGCATGACTCTGGCCTGTGGGAGGAGACCTTCGGGCCCAAAGCATGATATGTATTTTTGGAGATGATAGAGAAGATCCCCAAAAACTTCCACCAGCCGTGAACTGATCTCCTTACTGTTCCAACAGCGCCCCCGTTAGGCTGAGGCCGGTAGTTTTTGGGGGGAGTCCTTCCTCTCTCTCCTTGCCCAGGCATCTAGCAATAAGCCAACGTCAGCTAAATACGACGTGATCTATGCTCAAAGTTTTCAGGTTTATGTCTGTTAAATGACCGTATGATCCGGGAAATTCAATATATGAAAAATGATTAGCCCAGATATTTCTGATCCTCAAATATTTTTCATAAACAAAACAAATGCAGTCTGCTGGTGAACATGGCGTGCGATAAAGAGCCGTGTACATAAGTGGTGTGTTTCTGGTCACCTTTGGAGCATTCGGCCATAGACCTGCTGGACCTCTGCTGCCCGTCAGCCGTTTGTCCACGTCGGCCCTCTGCCCTGGACGTGTGTCCAGCTCCTGCCGGCCTCCTGTGCAGACTGCTGCTGGAGCCGGGACGTCTGCCAACAGGTTAAAAACACCCAGTCACACTTTCTTTTCCCTCCCACTCGCAGCATCTTGAATTTTTAAATCCGTCTTTGCTCAGGTCACTGCAGAGCTTTACATAAATCATTTGGTGGGAAAGGCAGCGGACCGGCTGACATCTTGCTCATATCTTCTGGGTTGGCAAACAAAAAGGAAGGAGAGCTGTGAAAAGGCGGCTTCTCATTCTCAAGAGAACCAAATCGAGTTTGACAGCTGCTCACAGCAGACGACAATATCAGGCTAGTTTAGTCCCTCCCACAGTGAATGTGGTCAAAGAGGTCTCTAAAGAGTAGTTTAGAGGTTAAAACACAAAAACATTGCTCAAAGCAGCTTCAATTGCTCTGGTCTCTTAAAAAAAAAAAAAGTTAGAAAAAAATCTCTGAACTCTTTACTACAAAAGTATGAAAAAAATCTCCCAAAAAATTATCTGCATTGCTTCTTCCCTCCGCAGAACACCAACCCTCTCTCATCCTCACTAAATGTTCATTCTAGTGTTTTGAAAAGGTTGGGATTTTTTCAGTAACTGAACAAACTTGTGTAGAATTTTTAAAAAAATCTGTCTACTAATGGAGGCAAAACATTGAGACTATCATACCATTTACTACCTGAAGAACACTGTAATCCCCTGTGATTGGGAGAAGCTAGGTAAGCAGCAAACAGCTGAGCCTGTAAAAATGGCTCTTCTAATGTTGTTTGCCTCCATTTTGGGGGGAAACCTTGGGAGCTGATGGTGTGCTGCGGGTTCCTCTGAAGCAGACGCTCAGGCGTCTGGCAGGTGAGTAGGACTGCGGCTGCCCTCCTGCTGAGCAGCTTCCTGGTGCTGACATCTGCCGACGGCCAGCTCCTCCTGCAGGAAAAGCACCTTCTCCTCACATGTCATCCTCACTCTGAGAGCGTCTGACCGGGGGGGAAGAGAGAAAATGACCATTTTGAATTTGCCTGTTCAACAAAAATGCTAATCACTGTTTGAACATTAATAAATATTACCTATAACTACTTGTCATATGTAACACAAGGGCGTATAAACACAAGAAAACAAGCTTTCAGCCATTTCTGATGTTCTGATGATACATACACATACACACACATACATACACACAAACATCATAAATCAGTAATCTTATAGCTTCAATTGTGTGAGGACTTTACCATCGTTCTCTCTTGTGCAGCCATACTTCTTTTTGAGCTGGATGATTCTTTCCTTCTGTTCACCATCGTACTCACATCCTGCTCCATCTGCTGCTGATTTTCAACCAGCCTGACCTGAGACTCACAGGTGGCAGCAACCTACAAAAGCCTTTCATCACCTCAAAGCTGAAAAGACCTGAAGTGATATATATATTTATATAGTAACCTTAATAATCAACACCATGTCTCACCCTGAGCGGCATGCAGGCAGAGAAAAGGGGTAAAAGTGGGGGATTCAGACATGCAGGCCTGAAATTTCCATCATCATCCCGCAATAAATCTCTATCACCTGTGAAATGGCAATAAAGTAAAACCATTCAATGAAAAGTAAAATAACTTGCTTGAGTTCTTGATGAGGCGAAACTGAAGACGGCAGGTGACTCACACACAGCTGTAGCTGATGCCGGGACGCTGCTGGCTGAGAGACAAAACACCGTCATTCACTCGAGTGTTCCTCAGTCTCCAGCGGTCAGAAGTACAGGCCACGAAAAAAAAGACACAAAAACTCAAGAACCTACAAGTCACTAACAGGACGAAGCAATTAGGTAGTTAGACTTTATACCAGTGATAATTCATGGGGTTAATAAATAGTAATAATGACGTTACTGGAAATTCCTTATCTGGACATCATACAGTAGAGTTGACTGTGGTTAGTCTCCAGTGTGTGGACTTCCATTTTCATTTATTTATTTTTTAATTATTTTGAAGCCTCAAGATTTTATTTTTTTTCCTTCTTTTCATCAAATTGTCAAAAAAAATATAGACCAACTAAACTGCAATGCCACGTATGTTTCTGTGCAGTGCCTTTGAGCATTTTAACATTTGTTATTGTAGTATCAAGTTTGAAAGTGATATGTCTGGAGTTCCAAGTTAAGTTAAAATAACGTTCAAGTTGATCGTCGCATAAAGTTGAGAAAGAGTTGCTTTAAAGAAAAGAACAGATAATCCCCTGGCAGCCATTGGCCGGGAAAATCCAAGAGGAGGTGAACCTGCATCAGGATTCAGCCGGCCCCAACACGCAGAACATCCCCTCCATGGAGACGTTTTCTGAGCCTGCCACACACACACACACACACACACAGAAAGAAACTAAAATCAATCATCCCCTCATAACATACGCTTTTTATATTAGCAATTAACTAATTTGATGCAACTAGCCGAATCAGGAGTTTGTGGATATTGAGGGACACATCCTTCTGCCAGGTGCCGCCCAGCATAAGAACAGCAGTCACCATGTTTTCACTCACACTCTGATCAGAAGCAAAGCCACCAGAGGAGAGGAAGAACTCCTAAAAAAATTTAAAAATCTCTCCCTTTTATTGGACTAAAGTGAAATTTGAGGGTGCAAGAACAAATGGTTTTACACTTCCCTCCGCCCCATCAACAGCAGAAAAAGTATAAAGGTTGGATTGGAGAGAGCTCAGCATCTTTAAGAAAATCCTGCTTTTATGAGCCTTTAATAGGAAAAGAAAGCCCACAAGAACAAAATCAAGACATCATACATCTGCTGGGATCAGACAGGCTGTCAACCTGCCTCTGGACCTCCTGCAGCTCCCTTTCGGCAAAGGCTGGACCACACAGACTCCCACTGGCTAACCAAGATACGTTTTAAAATCTGGGAACACATAAATACATGAATACGCTTTTTTTCTTCTTTTTTTTCTTTTTTTTTAAATCATGGGAGCATGCTTCAGCAAAACGGGAACAAATGAACACAGGAGAGTTTAAATTTGTTACAACAAACAACAAAAATCCACAGCTTTGCCAGATATATATTCATCAACAACATAAAAAAATAGGATTAAACTATGGATGAACTGAAAAACAAAGAGATAGTAGAAACCAAAAACCAACCTTGAAGAGACACTGGAATGAAACACACAGAGCTGATGTCTAAATCTGACAAAGAAAGAGAGAAACAGAGGGGGGAGTGATCAGCAGGTGAGCAGGTGAAACAGAGCACAGGTGCAGGGAATTAAGTCGATGAAGGGGGCAGAAGCCCAGAGAAACAGGAAACTATGACAGATGCCAAAATAAAAGCCATACAAGGACATAAATCCTCCCCATTATGCTGACGTTGGAAATATGAGCCTTACATTTTTTTATTTATTTAAAAGAATCCGTGTGTGAATGTTTCGGTTTGAAGGTCTGTTTCCAATGTGAGATGTGAAGATTCATTATGTAAAATCCCAAAACATACTTATTTCAATTCCAGGCTGCAGGAGAGGAAAAAGATGCTTGGAATGACATTTGTGAAAAGAATAGACCTAAAATTAAGCTATTTGACTTTAGATTTATGATTTAAAACCTTTTTCGCTAAATACCAAGATATCTCATAGCATAAAGAAAAAGTATTGCATTATTTAATAAAAATAACACCTCCCTCAGTACTAAATCTCTGCCTCCATCCTAGTTTGTTTTAGTGTTGCCATGGATACGCTTGCAGTTGGGCCTCCTCTCTTATTTGCTGCTCTCCATATTCACCATTTCTGCATTTGAGCTGTAGAGGGCTCTGATGTGTCACTTCTTTTGTCAGGAAGCTGTTGTAAAGCACCTACCTCGGCAGCTCCTCCACCCAAAACCCTTCATCAGGTTTGTTCTTCTCGGATACAGCCGCGCGATTGGTTCACCTGCTCGTGATGCAATTACCTAAAAGCAAATCATGTTCAGAG